TTGAGGTGTTATAAGGACAAGCATAAATGCAGTACGGAGTAGGTCACCATGCCACACCATGAAATATGTTGAGGAGGTGACCTTCATCAGCTCTTGTAGATCATGGTAAGGAATTTGGATTTCACTCTAAAGGGCAGGAGAAGGCATTGGGGATTAGGGGAGGTAATTGATCTGATTGATCTTATAAATTGAGCCCTCCAAATGTTTTGCAAGAGACAAAACATTGTGGTAGCTTGGACGAAGGGGAGATGAAGGGACCACATATTTTGGTCCCATCCTACTCCCTCATGGGCTGCAAAATGCTCACATCAATATCTTTCCCTGCAGCTCCCTGTCACTCAAGCCATAAAAACATGTATATGCACAGCAAGACAATCACACGTAAATATAAATTGTATATATACATACACATACGTATATACCTAGCTACACACACAGCTTCTCCAATACATACACACAAGTGCCGGCACCCAAGGGAAGGGACATTTCAGGGGATCCTTACCTGCTAACCTCAGACGCTCATGATCTTGCCCATGGCTTCCAGGAACCAGCTCTTCGACCATGGACATTTCTATCTCCTCCTTGATGTTAGAGGAGCTTCCTGCCATCGTGACCAGTTGTTCACTTGTATCTATAGCCAAGGATGCAGAGGGAGCAGGGCAGAGAGGAAAATAAGCGTTTCAAAGTGTAGGAGCTCAAGGAAGATATATCCTGACAAGGGGGTGGAGCCCTACTCCCATTTGGGCTCCAATCTTGGACCAGCACCTTCTGTTCCTGGTGTATCTTGTTGGCTGAGATCATGGCCTTCTCCCCTGCTTCTCCCCTGCTACTCTCCCCTGCTACTCCTCTGCTTCTCCCCTGCTGCATAGGAGAAGAGATAAGGCTCAGAACTTTTGCCTGTGAGTACTGCCCTGGCTCTCAGGTCACCTGATTTGGCTCCCATTGGGGGCAGGTGGAGTCCACCCTCCATCATTTCTAGAAAGAGACAGAGACTGGCACAGGACCCTCGAGTCAGTCAGCGGCCCAAGCAGGGTTAGATTACACACCTGTTGTGGCTTCTGCAAGCCCAGCTCCGGCTAGTAATCCCACCATAGCATCTCCCCAAAGGTGTCCTCTGCAGAGCATATCCTGCCTCCTCCAATCCAGAGTTCCCAGGCAGGAGAAATGACTTTTGGATATCCTGAGTCAACCTGGGCAGGAACCATGAGAACCAAAGGAGGGAAAAGCAAGTTAGAAGGGACCTCCCTGCAGCCACTGGAGCCCCCAGTATCCCCAGGCCCTGCATCTCCAAATGTAAGTCTAAATTCTCCCTCAACTTCCCTACTGATTAGACCACTGTGAGGTTTATATGGCCACTTGGCTAGCCTATGGTCTCCAGTTATTCCACCAAACACTAGTCCGGATATTGCTATGAAGGTATTTTGTAGTTGTGATTAACATCTACAATCAGTGGACTTTAAGTAAAGAAGACTACTAACCCTGGATAATGTGGGTGGGCCTCATCCAATGAATTGAAAGGCCTTAAGAGCAAACACTGAGGTTTTCCAGGGAAGAAATTCTGCTTGAGACTGCAGTATCAACTCCTGCCTGATTCCAGCCTGCTGGCCTGCCCTGCCAGTGTTGTTCTTGCTTAGCCCTTCAATGGTATGGACCAATTCCTTAAAGTAAATCTCTCTATATATACACAGATGCATGTACATATACATCCATCCATCCTATTGGTTCCTTTTCTGTGGGGAACCCTGACTGATACAACCACCAAAGTTTGAATCGGTCAGCACTTGAGAACCCTCAGTTCTTGGAAACAACCACAGAGCCCCTTGGGGAAGAGAAGGCTATTTGTAAAAGGAGCCAAAGACAGCTGGGGCCAGGTGGGAGGAAGAGACAAAAGGGGAGGGAGGAGGGAGGGAGGAAGGAAAGGGGCAGGGAGAGGAAAGGGAGGGGCCAGGACTTGCTTGGAGAGGGTGGAGTGGTCTGGGCTGCCTGTGACCCTCTCTGGCCCCACTTGTCCAGCTCTGGAACCAAGCTCTCCAGAGCAGAGCTGATATAGGCCCTGCCTGCATTCCCAAGGGCCCCTAAAACAACCCTTCCCAGCTCCAGGGGAGCAGCTGCCATGAAATCTGAGCCTTCTAGAGGGCACCTTAGAGGCAGAGAAGTGTGCTCTGTGGGACTCAGGAACTTGAGAAGCAGGATCCATGGGTTTCTGCCAGGCCTGGGTTACCAGATTGGAAAAATAAGAAGATAGAAAGTCAATTGAATCTGAATTTCAAATAAACAACAAATAATTTTTTAGTTTAATTATGATCCATGCAACATTTGGGACATATTTACAGTAAAAATTATTAATGGTTTATCTGATATTCACATTTAACTGGGTATCCTGTATTTTATCTGACAACCCTATGCCCTGCCTATCTTCACCATGGTCTCAGGATTTGACCTTGAGCAAGTCTTTTCTTTCTTTGGGCCCCAGTCTCCCCATTGGACAATGGAATTAACAATCCTCTCCCTATGATGTGGCTAGATTGGGAGAGCACTCAAGTCAGCAGAGCTGAACTGTGTGGACAGGCACAAGCAGGACCTTGCACTGGTCAGATCAGGTTACCCTCTGACTGCCAACTGGCCTTGACCAGCAGGGGCTTCCTGGGTATGCAGAGGCACTGCCCTCTGGCGGAAAAGAAACCCACCACCTTAGCCACGCAAAGTGGGTGGGGAGATCTCCTTCCTGGTCTCTGGGCCCCTAATGCCACCCAGAAACCCTAGCATTTCACCTTGGGCACCAAGGATGGCTGCTGGGAGGTGGGAGACAGAATTTGCTATGTGACTTTGAACTTGTCTCTTAGTATGTCTCTCTACCATGTTAACCTTTTCCTTCCATTACAATTTCCTTCTGAAATTGCCCCAAATTCTCATTCCAAACACTCCTAAAAGCTCCCACTATCTGGTATGCCAGCCTGAGGGGCCTAAAGAGCTATAACACCCCGGGTACAGACAGATCTTCCAAGCCTTATGCAGGCCAGAATGGTGGCCTGTGGCCAAGTGTGAGTGATGGGCTGCAGGGATCTGGACACCAGTGGAAGGCTCCCAGAAGAAAGGGCCAGGGGACCGGAAGCTCTTCCCACCCTGGAGGTTAGACAAATGCCTCTGAGAGGGGAAGGGAGGGGTCCAGAGAACATCTGGCTTAGATGTGTGTGTATATGCTAACAGTGTTTTACACAAATGAGATCATACATTTGAAGTATGTGCTCTTCTGCAATTTACTTTTTTAAGAGAATTGTGTGCCTTGGGGATCTCCCATGTCAGAACAAATCTACCTCATGTCTTTTAAACACAGCACAGTATTTTGCTGCACAGATGCACCTCTCTTTATTGACCTGCTTGTGGACATTTTGGATGTCTAGAGCTTTTTACTTTTATAAACAATGTAGCAGTGAGCATTCCTGGCCATGTCTTTTTGTACACATGGGTAAATGTTTTTGTATTGCAGATACCTAGAGATGGAATTGTGGGGTCCTAGAGTACGTGTGTTGACAATTTTGACCAATATTGTCCGATATGAGCAATGTCCCCTCTGAAGTGGCTGCACCAAGTGTGCCTTTACCAAGGGAAAGAAAGTGCTGGTTTCCTCACAGCTTTATCAACGGAAAATACTGTATTATGAAAGGTTTTTTAAAAAGCATCATTATGATGGGTGAAAAATGATATCTATCACATTTTTCTTTAATTTATGGTGTTTTAATTATGAATAAACCTGAGCAATTTTTCATATGTTTATTGATCTTCTGTGTTTCTTTCCTGTGAACTACCTGCTGGAGGGTTTGGATCTTTATTAAAATAAGAACTCTTTTATTAACAGAAGGGTGGGAACAAAAGCTCTCCCTCCCTTCAAGCTAAGCGTCTCCAAAGAAAACATACGATTGTTTTCCCTAAAGGTGATTGTGAGCGCAGAGCTTCCACTGGGGACCAAACAGACACTGTTAATTGCATCCAAGTTTGTGCTGAAATCTAGAGGGCCTCCAGCCTCTCGTCCCCACCACAGAGCAGATGTCCAACTCGGGCTGTTGCCTGCCTGTCTGCCTGTCTGCCCTTGTCTTATGTCTGTCTGACTCTTCGCTTGCCCGACCACCTGCCTCCATCAATGCCTTCCCACAACTGGACTCTTCTAGCTGTTCAGCCAGCCATGCACTCGACTCAGATTCCCAACTGGCTTGAGGTCTGATGGCCTGTCTGCTACCTGCTCTCACTTCCCTTGCATGAAGCATGAAGAATTGGGAGGTGGCAGGAACCCAGGCCCAGGGTAAGTACGCCTAGGAGTGATTTCTAGCTCTGACAATGGGTTATCTTAGGCCAGTTGTTTTCTCTGCTCTGAGCCTCAGTTCTCCATTTTCACATGAAAGATGGTGCTAAAACCCAGTTTTAAACTGTGTTTCTTGGTTTCAGGGAGGTGTGTTTGGGATTATCTGAGCTTCAGGGTTCTATGGAAGAGGCCATTCAAAGCCATGGGCATGACTGTCTGCTGCCTCCCAGCTCTGCTCAGAGCATGTCTCGGGCAGCTATAATCCCAAGCCCAAGCTAGCAAGCCTGATTTTGGCTGCAAACCCAGATCTTCCAGGCATCTGGGAGCTTCCTTTCCTCTTGCTAATAGAACTTATGAACCTCTGAACAATTCTCCTTCCTGCTCCTGGAAGCAGCTGGTACTGAGGTCATCACTGGAGCCCCAGACCCTCCCCCAGCCATAGGGGAAGTGGAAGGGGGACTAGCAGAGCCTTGCAGCTGTCCCTTCATTCCTTAAAGAGACAGGAAGAACAGAGGAGCAAACTGCAGAGACTGTAGCTGACCCAGGGAAGAAAAGTCACTCCATGAGCAGAGAGAGGGAAATAAGTGGCCTGATCACCTTGGGTAGTCCTGAGGACCCAGCCTCCATGGGGACAGGGCCAATAAATAGCAGGAGGTTACAGGGAACACCTCGATTTCCAAATGTAGGCTCCTTTCATTCAGTATGGCTGTCTTGAATCAAGACTGACTGTGTGCCAGGCACTGGAGGTAGCAACAAGGTTCATGTCCTCATAAAACTCATGTTCTAGAGGGCAGTAGTCCATGGGTCTGTGAGGATAGTAGCCAGGTTTGTTTTTGTGATGGTCCTGCTCTTAATCTTGCCAAACTCTGCCTCCTTGGGAATGTGATGGGTTCCTAGAGCTCTATGAACCTAAGAGGGAGGGCCTGACCATTGTCCCTGGCACCTGCAGCCTCTGGCTACACACCTCCAGGACAGCTCACTACCTCTTGAGGGGGCTCAGATTGGCAGAAAAGTCTTCCCCAAGTTGAGTGGAAATGCTGGTCATGTCCTCTGAACTCTGATCTAGCCTGTAGGGAGTAGCTCCTGCAGAGGTGGGTTAAAGACACTGACACAGAGCCACATCCTTGGCTGACAAACGTGCAAACAGGATCATGGCTGCTGAGATTATATGTGCCTCTGGGTTCCTTCAGATCAGCCCCTAAAGCTTCCTCCTGCAGACTCAGGTGGCAGTGCAATGAGTTTATGGTAATTGTTACTGGCTGATAGCCCAACAAGTAACTCAGGATGGCCGTGCAGGTGGAGCTACGAGCA